CATGAACATCCGATTTCTTGAGAAACTGTTATTATAGAATCCGAATTTTCATATTTGATTCTTTTTAAATTATTTTATTAACATACTCCTTTAGCTAATTTAAATTTAAAAAATATATATTTTTTATAAAATGCTATGCTACTGTCCAAAGATACGCAGTATTCGGTTCCAGTTTGCTCTCTTCCAAAATTTACCCTTTTTGCCCACTCTCTCCGGGCAGCCCTCTCTCAATATATACCGCACACACTCTCCCTTCTTCTGCAGAATACAGAAGGATAATACAATAAGATTGCTCATTCGCTCTCACAAATGGCCTCAAAGGGCGACCCCAAGGTCCGAAAGGAACAGCTAACGCCCCCACTGGCTTCAGAAGAGTTGGCGGCAGAGCGGTGTCCGGTGGAGGAGGTGGCCCTAGTTGTTCCGGAGACCGATGATCCATCGATGCCAGTGATGACATTCCGGGCGTGGTTCCTCGGCTTAACTTGTTGCGTCCTTCTTATCTTTCTCAATACTTTCTTTACCTTCCGCACGCAGCCGCTTACAATCTCGGCGATCTTGATGCAGATCGCAGCACTTCCCCTCGGCCGGTTCATGGCTGGGGTGCTACCAAGAAAAGAGGTGAGGCTCTTTAGGGGCTGGAGTTTTAATCTGAATCCTGGGCCGTTTAACATCAAGGAGCACGTAATCATTACCATATTTGCCAACTGCGGTGTCTCCATTGGAGGAGGAGACGCCTATTCCATTGGGGCTGTCGCAGTGATGAAGGTCTACTACAAGCAGACTTTGAGTTTCCTATGCGGCCTCCTTATTGTGCTAACTACCCAGGTAAATTAAAAGAAATTACAAAAAATGAGGCTAGGTTTTTCTAAGCCTTCTGAGATTTGGTGTTAATTGAATTGCTTCCTTTGAGTTTTGTTTTTCATATTCTGTATTTCTTTTCTAGTTTGGAAAAAAAAAATCATTTTTCACGCTTCTTTCATTCCTTCGGAGTTAATTATTTTCAGGCAAAAGAGGTGACCATAATTTGACGTATTTGTTCTAGATTTCCTTAGGAAGAAGCGTTTATTTTGGATCCCCATTTTTTTTCCACTTAATTGTTTCAATAGTTGAGCTTATTAATGAAGATGTCGCCCTCATTCTTATTTGGATGAGCTGGGTAAAAGTCGATTTATATAAAAGCCCTTATGGCA